TATGGTTAAAATGTTACATTAATGGACCCAATGGACCACCAATAGACCATCAATGGACTGCACATTTGCCAACCCTGGTGTATATAGAATTCGAAAAGTTGTAAAATTGGAAATTCCTGTAAAAGAAGAAAACAACGATTATTATCTTTATATAAATAAGTTAATGGTAACAATTCATTTTTATAATTGAATTTACTGTAAATATTACTGATGATTGTTACTAATAGTCACTCTTGATAACTGTAGTTTGCGATTAATGAGATGGAAAAACTTGTGGAAAATTTAAACTCGGAACTTAGTAAAAAATCTTCAAAAAAAAATGAGAAAGATTTTTTGATATCATCTTTAGGTAGAACAATGAAATCACCAACGAATTCTTATTATCATTAGTTGTAATTCTCATTAAAAATTTCATATTATAGCAAATTTTAAATTAATAGCAAATTTAAATTAAATATTAATTAAATATTACAATAAGGACTTTTATATAATTTGTATATTAAAAAATAAATGATGATAAAAATGCTTGCATGTTATTTTTACATTGCTGTATTATACAAATTTCTATTGTTATAAATTTGTCGTATGTAAGAATTACTTTCACGAAGGATCAAATGTGTATTTTCGAACAGGTATTTTAATATTGTAAAAATACAAGTCATATTTTATTATGTCCTTTATATATAAATTACATAGATTGATAACGTCATAATAAAATAATAAATAAACATAAATAAATATAAATAAATATATAGATATAAAGCTTATCAATCTATCCGGAAGATGAATTCAGTCATCAGAAGCTGACAAACCTGAAGAATTGCAAATGGCATTTAATCTTGAAGCCGAATCTCAGTTCAATGCAGTACTTCAAGATTTCTTAAGGAATTAGATTGTACAAAAAAATTTTTTAGCTTATCTATCTTATAATAAGATGATTTTTTAACAATCAATACTTTGATCATAATAAAATATAATGTATATAATATATATTACATGTTAGTCTAACCATTAACAAGTCATACAACGTCCACACATAATATATTTCATCAATGTATTTATCTAAAGCATAATAAAAAAATAAATTAATATTGTAACAATGAGATTATTTTCCTTCTAAGGGTTTCTGCTTTTTGTTGGGTAATAGTACACCTTCATTCTTTCTTTTTCTAACATTTATTATTTTTCTTTCTTCTTGGTAAATTTCATAGGTAATCCTTTCTTTTCTTAGATAAGTTTCAAGCGTCTGAGCATCATTTATTTTGAAAATATAAGGAGCAATTTTTTCACCTTGTTCCTTTTTTAAAATACTTCTAATGGTGCTATAATTCTTGGTTCCATGGTAGACCTAATGTAAATTAACTTCATATTAACTATTTTTATATAGAGGTAATTCTATATATCTCTTAATATTAAGAAAAAAACAAATATAACAAATGGGAGATTTTAATAATCACATTACTAAATTTTGATCCCTGAAATTCTTGGTAATATAAATGTTCACTTTGTCTGGTTTTGTTGCAGCATGCCCCATATTATAAATATCAACATCTATATTAATAATAATAATTATCATTACCTTTGAATATTAGCAAGTATTACATTACAGGCAACAGCATATCCATTTATAGCATTCATTGTACTACAGTCATCAAATGATAATCCAGGATCAAGTCAAAAAATGACAGTGGTTGATCATATTGAAGGTTGTTTTAATTATTATCCAATTAATTGATTAATTGATTAAACTGTCAACTAATATTTAGAATAAGGATTTTAAAATCAACAACAAATTCATTAAATTAATTTCTTTTTTATTTCCTTTCTGATTCTACTAGGATTTATAACACTGGAGGATATTGCAGCACGATTAATGAATCAAATAAATCATCATGAAATGAGTATGTGAAGAATGCGTAATGAACAAGTAGAACATGAATCTGCATGCCAAATGTATTGTCAACAGGATATGGTAAGGCTTCATTATTAGCTGATCAAGAGAAAGAACATAAAGCTTGTGAATTGGCCAAGACTAAATGATTAGCCAAAGAAAATGCAAAAAAAGAAAAAATACAACAAAAATTAACTGAAGAAAGAAAATTGAAATGGAGACATTGGTCTTTATCAACTTTACCAGATGAGCCATCCGAATCTGATAAAAATGTAGCAAGGTTAAGTTTTGGACTTGCCAATAGTGAAAGAATCATCAGACAATTTAACCAGATGATACTGTTGAGGTTTGCTTGTTTTTTTGGTTGGAGAGGTTATAAAATTTGGCATTACTTGATCAATTACTACTAATATATATATATCTATTAGATGATGTATACATTTGTTGATACATGTTTTCTTCATGAAGATCATTCATTATCATCATCATCAAATTTACAATTTCCACCTGATGATTATGCTCATACATTTGATTTTTTGCTAATTTCACCACATCCAAAGAGTTTGAATATCATGTAGATAAAGATAAAACTATAAAAAATGAAAAGGATCTTTGGCCAAGTGCTAATCTTATTGTAGAATCACTTGCAATTGATAAGGTTGTTAATCAGTGTTGTAATATTTTGGGTTTTTTATAGAAAGAATTTTTTCCTTAACATTATACTCAATTAAATGAATCATAATCTTAAAGTTATATTAATCTTCCAGTGCAATTTGAATAATCAAATTAATTATGAATCATTTGTTTGATTTGAATAAACTTTATTCTAATATGGATCAATACTTTTATCTGGATAATCAAAAGCAAATACTAAAATCAATCATCAACATTAGTGTCACCGGAAATTGCATCTTGATCATTATTTATCAAGTCACATGTATTATCTGCTTCAGTAGTAACTGGGTAGGTTTCACTTATAATATTTACTAATTTTGAATCCTTATCTGGAAGCATTAGTTATAGTAATTCTTTGATTTTCGTTTCTAATCTATAATGATTAAATCCAGTAATAGAATAATGCGAAGTTATGTTCAACTTAGGTTTCTTTAATAAATATATAAATATATATTAGAAATTAAAAAATCCCCCATTTAAAATATTAAAATTATCATTGTTATTTTGTAAATTTAGAATTTAATAGTTTGGAAAAAGTTACACATAAAAATGACATAAATGGTGGAGGATAAATATGGTGCTTGCCAAAACTTCTCCAGAAATTAATCTTTGTTGAAGATAAAAAAAAACACAACCTCTTCGAAATGCGCGTTATTTCTCTAATAGAATAAAATAAAAAACCATTAATTTCAATGTCTCTCAATATTGATGAAAACAAGCAAGATCAAATTTATCTAAATCATTATGGATATGAATAACATTCTTTCAACATCAATAAAAAAATTGCGTGTATACAAACACACACTAAAAGATATAACGTTGCCATGCTTTTTTTTTCTTTTTTAAAAGTTATTAGTACTGCTTCAACTCACGTGGCATGTTGACTGTTCAAAATTTTGAAATAAATGTCAAAAAATTATAAAAAAAATAATAACTACAGTTCAACGTATCTATCTTTCTATAACAATAATAATCATTATTATTACTGTCTATAATGGACATTTTTTCGTAAACCATTATAGAGAGTGAACACTACGCTACATATGCTTGACTTGGTTATAATTCTATTAAAAAAATAAGTAATATTTAATCATAATATTAATAAAAACACACAGGAGTTATTATTTTTTAAAGATGTTTTCTCATAATAAATGTTAGTCTTTTTCTTTTAGTACTGAAATGAAGAGTAAACATTGAAATATGCATTTATATCTATAAATCTTGTTTGCAAATTTTAAAAAGAGTGCATATGGTCGATCACTACCCTTCCTTAATCAAGTATTTTTTTTTGAATCGTGCGATCCAACGATCATATTGTAATCAAGTGTCGTTTTCAAAACGTAAAATTGAAGTATATAAGGAAGAGATAAGGTCACTGTGTTTAAATCTGCAGTTGAAGATATGTCGAACACCAAGATCTTTCCATTAATTTCAATCTCTACATAATTTATTCCTAACAGAATCGTTTCTGAATATCATATTCTCATAAAATCAAAGGAATAATTATTTGTATTTGCATCATGTATCTACAATGTGATTTTTTTATATGGATCAAAATGTATACAAGTAAAAATAAAAAAATATACAAAGAGTGGAAAAATATATACAAAAAGCAAAAAATATATACAAAAAAGAATCTATATATTTACAAGAGATAAAACGTCAATAGTATTCTCACGGATAAGACTTACGATGAAATATATATATATATAAAATATGAAAAATAGTTAAAAAAAAAATGAAGTAAAAAAATATTTACAAGAAAATTTGAATCTATTATTTAGTCGACCAGCGACTATAAATGATAAATCCTCTACAATATTTGTCTCATCCGTGAGAACAATATCGTATACCGATGTTTTATCTGTATCCCACGCACCACCACGACATCGATCATCTCCTTTACCTGCCTCAGGAGAAACCTTCCAATTAGTACACCGCCAGACGACCTGCAAATGTTTGATATTAATTAATTGAAAGTTATCTTAATTAATGTGATTCGCATATATAATTGATATAATACCTATATTCTTTCGAGTCCAATTCTTACATTGCACAACAAATGGGATGTCGCAGGAAACTCCTTTAATATCAATTCCCATGTCGCCCGGCCCTCTGTATAATAGATAAACAATAAACAATAATAATGAGTATAATGTGTCATTATCAATGAACTCAACAAAATAACTCTGTGAAAAACACTCACCCAGTATGCTCGCACTCAACCCCCGCATCCCTCAATTTGTTGACAATTTCGAGTTCAAGCGCGCGGCCTTTTGCCACAGAGGAAGTCATTTTTAAAATATATATTTTAAAAAAAAATTTTGAAGATGTAAAAAAAAAATTTTTTTAAAAATTATTAAGGGAAAAAAGATCTTTATAAAATGTATTAGAAAAAAAAAGATCTTTATAAAATGTATTTAAAAAAGGTATCTTTTATAAAATTATTAGAAAAAATAAAATTTATTAAAATACTCACATCTTATATTTATAATCGATTGAAAATGTACCCAGAATGTTCTATACTAATACCCTTAGTCAGCGTCATTATATAACTATTATTATTATTATTATTATTATTATTATTATTATTATTATTATTATTATTATATTTCAAAGAATAGCAATTTTACAATATGTTTATGTTCCTATTGTGGATAAAAATTGCTTGGTTCCCCATTAAGTAACAATATAAATATTGGTAGCTTTTTTTAAATGCTTTCCTTCTATTACTATGAGGTAATTAATCGAATTGGGTGTAAGAATAAACAAAAAAATAATAATAATAAGAATTCGATGATTCTTATGAACAATGGTAGAGTTGGTAATAATAATAATAAAGCTGTCTACTTCCTGGGTTATTATTAATAACGAAATGAAAGAATATTTGTGGTGACGAATTACCCCCCTCTCTATCTATCTAAGTTTGACAATTCATAAATGAAGGTTATGCCAAAAAAGTATATATTTGATTTGTACGCCAATAAATAAATATGTAATATATATAATGAAAAATATAAAGTTTGCATTTTTCCATCATAGTTTAAGCAAATAAATCGGAGGAAATGATCAAGATAATTTTAATCCAATTTCCAACAGTAGAACGGCCCTAGAAGAGGAATGGGATAAATTGTAACCTGATATTTTATTTAAATTGGTTAATGGTGTTTTAAAATTGTAATTGAAACAAAAAGCGTCATGCTAAACATTAATGTCTTCATTAAATAACGTGAATAATTAATGAATAATAAAAAGGTTTAGTTTAACATAGAATTGTGACAAATTAAAAACGCTTGTAATAATAACCCTGTCGGGAATATGGTAACTTTTTCTAGCTGTTCATATTAAAACTTCAACCCCCGTGGTATGTAAACTTGAACTAATTTTGTTCAAAATTTTGAAATATTCTTCCTATAATAATAATAATAATAATTGATATAACGGATCTTACTCTATAACAAACTGCGAATTTATGATCCATATACGAATCATTACTATTACTGTCTATAATGGACATTTTTTCGTAAACCATTATAGAGTGAAATGTATATTAATATTCAAACACTACACCACACTACCGTTTGCTCGACTTGGTTGTAGTTCTATTAAAAAATATGTAATATGTAATATTTAATCATAATATTAATAAAAACATATATCATTTGTTTTTTACCCACTCATTCGCAGGAGATATTATTTTTTAAAATGGTTTCCAATAATAAATGTTGGTCTTTTTGATATTGAAATGAAGGAAAACATTGAAATATTTATGATTCTTTTCATTTCATTAACCTTCAAAGTAAATTGTTCTCAAAATTATTTTGATAATATCTTATAAATATGAAAAGATCTTGGTGACCTTGATTTTTCAACACACCTCAACTGCAGTAACCTTATCTCTTCCTTGCATGTTTCAATTTTAAAACAATTACCGTCAGGAAACGACACTTGATTACAATATCAGTCACAGAGGTTGTAAAATTTGGATGATCTGCATCATAGTAAAATTTTATAATCGAATGTCTTCACACCCTCATTTGATACCCTTGCTGTGTAGCGACCACCACCAAATTTGAGATATAATTTCTTTATCATATGTATCTACTTTATGAAAAATCTTAAAGCAGGTTGACCCTCAAAGTCAAATTTTGCCTTTATATTCATATGCGTAAAATTTTTTTTGATGTGTCCAATTGCAAGTATAAGCAGAAATAAATGTCCAAATATTACATTATGAATATTTATAGTTTTTTGATCACTTAGGTATGTTTTTATAGTATAATCATTTATTTTAAAAGTAAATGTAATAAATAAATAGATTTTAAAAATTTTCTTTGCCTATATACATAAATAATGATTAGAATAATAAACAAGCAACAATGATGATTAAATTAAAAGGTGTTTTATCTCTGAC